TCCTGCACAGAGTACCTTGGCTGAAATGAGCTTGTGCCAAGGACTGACTTTTCTCCTAAAAATGGAATTAGCAACATTTTGGGCTGAAAAGGGGAGAAGTGACTATCATTTCTAGTGTGAGAAAGCTCTGGTAGCCTGTCATGCTGTTGCCAATATGAAGTTACTTAGAAAGCAAACAAATTGTGTTTTACTATATTGTTCTGTGTGTATTTGACAGTCCCTGAACAGAAAATAATCTGGAGATTGAGGCAGTCTGTGGAGTGAAAGGGTTGATCAGTTTTCTGGCTGGAAGCATGATTTCATTGGGAAGGGCTAAAATTGTGTTTCTAAAGAGGAGAACCGGCTGTGTCAGAACCAAGGTTTCCATTGTGCCATCTTGCCTCCTCTTATTTTGTGGTTTTTTAGGTACATAGTAGTTAGAGATATGTAATATATATTTCTGTAATCTTTACCTTTTCTGAGAGATTATTTTTAGTTTCTAATTTGAAACAATCTTGCTTTAGTTTGTACAGTGTAAAGATGCCTGGGTATTCAAGTGAACAAGTCAATTTTCTTTTCCTTTTTTGTCTTTTTAGGAGGCTTGTGTGTGTGTTGTAGTCTAGCCTCTGATATTCCTGATGAAATAACATACTCCATATATTTTTTACATAAAGGTAAGATTAACCTGTGAAATTATGCCTTATTTTGGAGAATGTCACTTTGTTGAAAGTGTCACAGAATGCCTTGCAAAACAAATAGCTACCAAAGTCTGCAGACAATAAACTACTGTGGCTGGGGGGCAGCTGCCTTTAGCTGCAAGGTTGACTTCCCTGCTGTAGACTTCCTGCCTGATGCTGAATGAGTAGCTTCAAACCGGTGGCCTCATGAGGGGCTATTAATTTGGTCCTTTATTTCTAGCCAGACTTTCCGGCGTGCTGAGCACAAACATCAGTGAAATCTGTGGAAGCTTGCAGGTGTGTTGTACTTATGCCATAAGGCGTTTGTATGGGAAATAGAGCCAACAGCTCTTAGCTTGAAAGTTTGTTTAGAGTTCCAGTTCAACATGTCATTTTCACAGCAAGAGGTGCAACACCCACTGACTGTAAGAATAGTTGCTATGTAAGTGGTGCTGTAGCTCTTAATTTTAAGACCTTTTTTTTTTCTTGAAAAGAATAAAGAACATTGTTTATTCTGATCAGAGCAAAACTTGTCATTAGCAAGATCTTCTTTCTCATGTGATACATAGAGGAGAGGGGCAAATGAATTCTTAACTGAGAAGCTACATAGTATGGAGTAACCATATTCAAGTGAACAACATACTGCTGTTTTACTTTAAGTGTTTGCTTTCTTGTATCAGGAAACTTCATGTGTCAGAGCTGCACTAACATGTGACTTTGCTACTGGAACATTGTGGGATTGAATGAACTGGATTTTTGTGTTCTTGAAGGCATTAGCAAATTGGAAAAGTCCATTCTGAGTGTGGCAGCATCTGCATTGTACTGCTATGAAGGGCTGACTTCCCCAGGTGTGCTTGATGTGTAGCTGAAGGCTAGTTGCATTGCTTGGAGCCAACCGTGGCCCTTGTACATCCCTATCAGTACCAGGAAGAAACTGAGGATAAATATAGTGACATTGACCAGCTGCATCTGAAATGACCTTCATGGAATGGAGTTGTTGGGTACAGAGCTGTTTATGGATTCATGTGAGATTCATCAGTCGTACGAGAGGATTTTAAGACTGGTCCTGAGGTGTCCCACAGAAGCATCTGTAAGCTTGGGAGAAAGCTTTCTTCCCCCTGTTAAAGCAGGTCCCCACAGTCACTTGATGTAGCATAAACACAAAACTAATGATGCAGGTGTATTCTGCAGTGATGATATTAGCTTGCATGTGTTTGTGTTGGCAGGTAGCAGGGTGATGATTATGAGTATACTGACTTACTGCAAACTTCACTCAGTATCTTGTGTCAAAAACTATTTGGTTTAGATACCACTTCATCTGTGGTGTTGCTGTTGGTCTTGGAGGTCTCGTATTTCTTTTTTTTTTACAGCATAGATAAAGCATATCTCTCTCCCAGAGTCAGGAATCAAAGTCCTGGATGAGTGATTGAAGTGTGGCACATGATCATCTTTTTCCCTTGGTGGTCTTGTAAACTGTGGATCGGTCATCTTGTCATGAATTTCGATGCAGTATTAAGTAGCATCCTGATCATGACACCATTCAGCCTCTAGGATATCACAGCATGGACATTCAGAAGCCAGTCGTTGTCTCCTTAGTTATTTTAATCTTCAGTTTTTCTCAGAGATTGAGAAAGTTTAGGGGCTCTATGTCACTCTTACTGGATGCCAGAAGTAGTATGGTGCAAGTCTAGAATAAAATAATAGCTGTGCTGATGTAAAGCCCATGCAAACACTGCAGGTCTGAAATTAAACTCTGTTTAAACGGAGCTGAACTAAATTGCAGCAATAGGGCATGCAGATAAACAAACTGGAAATTCTCTAAAGCAGTTGAAAGATCACTAAAATGTGAAGCACAGCTACTTAAAGGTTTTGTGTTTGGGTTTTTTTGGGGGGAGGTATTTTTACACAAGCTTGCTCGGGGACGAAATGCTTCTTTAAACATGAACATGGGCTGTGCAGTGCATGGCCAGTTTCCGCATATTAAAGACCTGCATTGTGTGGGTGCAGGTCTACTAAGTATGCAGCAGCTCTGTTTAGGATGAAGTAAATCTGTCTGTGCAGACAAGCCCACAAACCAGTCTAAAATATCCCTGTTTGAGTGTTTTGGCACTGCTGAAGTTTCTAGCTCAAAAGTCATACTTGTCTTGTAACAGATGCTGTTTATTGTTTTTTGTTTTGTTTTGTTGGTTTTTTTTTAAATATTATTTTTCCCCAGGTTACAACAAAACTTTTACAGTTTCTCTAGAAAGAAAAGAATCTCATCAATTGAAGGAAGTGGCTTTTATGAATCTTGGTAGGTTACTTGTGTTATTTCCCTGTGTGACTGCTGTTCTCTGTCCCCAGAAGGGTGACAAATGGCTCACCCTTCTCTAAAAGAAAAGTGGTTTTTTTTTTTTCTTGACTTGAAGTAGTTGTATTATTTTGTTGCTTTTGTTTTGCTTAACTTTTATATTTGGCGTTTGCTACTGCAATACCTCATTATTAGTAAGAAACTTACTCTGAAATTGCCTCAGACTCTTCTCCGGAGATCAGCTGCAGAGTTCTTGAGTGTCTTAAGCCTCTTGAATCCTCCTCTGGAAACTCGGATGCATTGCTGTGTTAATACAACAGCAGCTTTTAATTAACTCCTTTTATATTTCCTAGATATAATCAATTCCATCAGAGAGAAGTGGGCCAAGATGAGAATCGTGTGAAACAGCCTCTCAAAGCAAATAAGTGAATAAGTGCTAAAGTGACTACTGTTATTTTCTTTAAATAGACTATTATGTGGCTGCTTATTTGCCTGGCCAGTTCCTGCACCTCCTGAATATTCAGCATCCTGACCTGCTGTGCTATAGTTTGTTTCTGACAGGTATAGTAAGACTGCTGCTTGAAGTAATTTTATTCTTGTAGTGGAAACTTGTTCCAATCTCTTTGCATGAAATTTGTATTTCTCAATGTTTGCTTTATTGCACAGTGTTCTGAAGAAGGAGAGATTGAGAAACTAAGAATGGCGTTTTTGCCACTTTCCACTTCAAAAAGAGAATCTGAAGTGACATTTCATACTTCCATCTATTACGTACTTTTAGCTTGTTATGAAATAGAAGACCTTTCACTGAATTTGAAATTCTTTGCCTTGGTTTCATAGTTTCCCTTCCCCCATCTTTGCACATGCATCTCTGTCCTCCACTGTTCTCAAATTTCACATGGAGATGTAAATTTGATTTTACATTTCCTTCCTCCAATTGAGTTGCTCTAAATGTGTGTGTTTGGAGGGTGTGGGGAGAGGAAATCTGTGTTTCCTTCACCTGATCAGGCTGATGCAATTTGATTTAGTCTCATCTGAGAGGCACGTTATTTCATTTCCAACAAACATGTCTTTATGGGAAGTGGGTTATTTTTGGAAGTGGAAGGCCTTTGTTTGAAAACAGAAATCTGTTGTTCTGATTGGGCAATAGAGAGGTGAGAAGGGGGAACTTGCACAGGGGCAGCATCACAGGAAGCTAACACCTGTTGTGTGTACATAATGAAATACTGCTCTGCGATTGGGATTGATAAAAAGAGGTCTGCCAACACAAGTTTGTATCATGATTCTGCATGTTAGCAGTTCTGAACTGTACCCTTAGGTGCCAATTCTACTGTTGTAGCCCTATTGCTACCCTTGTTCCCTTCTCTGTTCCATCTTGTGTACCCTGATTTGTCCTGGGACAGCATTGCAAGCCTCAAATCCATACACCTTCTCCGCTTCAGAACTAGGGAAGGAGAGAACTGAGTATGGACTGTACTCCTTGTTTACTTCCTTCACCCAGCCAGCACATTTCTCCTCCTCTTCAGTGCAATATCCGAGCAGCTAGTGCATGAGGCAGACTTGTTTTTTACTGCTGGGGACCTGGGAGTCTTAGGAGAAATACTGGTAGAAACCAGATTTTATGTTCTTGGTCCTTTTTATTCTCAAACCGATGTTCTTCAGGTGAGGATGCAAGAATTGACATGTTGCAAAACTGCTCCATCCAATCCCCACTCTTGTCAACAGTCTTGGATTGCTGCCTAGGAAGTATGTATGCTGTCAGCATCAGTGACAGCGCCTTACTACAGTTCCTACAGAACAGCAAACGAGACAGCGAGAGATTGGCAGCTCTACATTGTGCTCTGCTGTACTTCCGACACACAGAAGACTTGGAAATGCAGGTGGGAAAAGAACCTCCTCTAAGCTTTTTCACTGACTGATGTCTTTTATACAAAGCAGGGTCAGGGCATGAATGATACCAGCCAAAGAAGAAAAGTCCTGATTCACATGTACCTTTTGGCAGTGCCAAGAGACTCACCAGTTGGACTGCCCAAGCTTCTTTACTGCTCAAGGCTGTCCTGAAAACATTTTTCTTTTTATCACTGCTTCATGAAAAATGTTGCTATCGCAAACAAAGTTTCTATAATCTCTTAAAACACGTGCTTAAATAGAGATGTGACAAACTCCTCTGTTCTCATTCTGACAGATTATTTGGTGGATTTCTGAGAACCTGTCGACATGTCATTCTTTTGACCCCATTCAAGAATTTATCGTCGGTAGGTATTTCTTTTCCTGCGCACTGAATTTTCCTGCATGCCCTAGTTTTGACTTAAGGAGAAGTCACAATTTTACAAACTGTCTCTCTTTCCAAACTTTCTGGTTGTGATTTGTGTTAACTGACCTGCATTTTGTGGTGTTGGAGACAATATTAGCAGTTTAGAAGATACATAGATCTCTCAAAATCAGATTGGGAGTAAAACTTTTGAAATGTGTTCTTCTGTCTAGTGAGATAAATAGATTTATCATTATTTTTGGTCACTGGAGAGCAAATTCTCCATCTGACTCCTCTCTTGGATGTCTGGGATGTAAGTAATTGAGATTGGAGTAGAGGAACAGCTCTCCTGTAGCCCAGCCCAAACCATTTTTTTGTAAGGATTTGGCATATCATGATATTGTCTTCTGATAACTGATAATTCAGCCTAGCCAGTGCATGTCCTGTGCCCTGAGCCTTTGTACAAAGGACCCCTGCAGCACTGAGCTGTAGCCAAGCAGCTGACCCTGCCCTGCAGCCATCTGGACTTCTCTTCCTCCTTTTGTGCACAGAATGGGACCAGTTCCACTGTGGAGGAAGCTGTTTCGGAGGCAGCAGCAGGATTTGTCCCTAGAAAAGTGTTAGATAAGGAACTGACTGTGAAACCTGCTCTTGCTCTTGTTAACTAGTAGTTTATACAATCTTACCCTTATAAATCTTTTTGCATTGCATTAAGCCTCCCTGTACTGCAGAATGTGTCCAGAAACTCACAACCTGGATAAACTTTTGCCCTACACATCACTGCTTGACTGGACTGGGGTAAGAAAACAGCTGGTACTTTAATAGCTAGAGGGAGTCGATTTTTTTCACCTTTAATACTACCTTTAACTTGTATGCCTTACCTTTTCATAGACATACTCTAAATCCATATGTGTGCTTTATGCCTGTTTCATTTTGTCAAGTCTTAACGTTAGTTGTGTTTTTCATGAGTCCTATTTTTTGTCAACAAATAAGAGCATTTATAAAACCAGAACAGCTACTATGATGGAACAGATGATTAAATCTCTCAGTTTTCATAATGAGATATTAATTTATTTCTTATCATAGGAGATTTATAATGAATACAAAATATATTTAACCAGGAAAATCATGCAGTTGTTTCCAAGACAAACAGTGTCAGTAGAGTTAAGATTTATGAGTAAGTAAAATAACTTTAGGCAAAACCCTACAGTTAAAGCAAATATCTCATTTTAATTTCTCTGCTCTGACACTGTTTTAATATGTTGTCTTTTTTTAAATGAAATGAACAATAGAAACATCTTCCTTATTTCTTTTCGGCAAAACTGAACGTACAGTTTTGACTAGCTAGCTAGTTTCACCAAGGAAACGGATAATGGAGATACACTTAGATACCCAAACAGGCCCATGTTTTATGCTAAATGATTTATAATTTGTCTGTGTTTATAGATGATCCCTGGAGTGACATGTGCAACAGACATTATTTCTCTACCTGTGTTAGAGGTAAGTTCCCATATAGAACCACGTTGATATTTGCAGGTTAGGAGCTTTTTTTTGGTGGGGAACAGCAGGCAGTTTGCTAAATACTAATGAAGCAGTGTGCTGACAACCTTATCCAAAAATATGGGTGAGGAGAAAATTGCCCTGTTTGAAATATCTTATACGTTTACCAAAATATCAGCTACTCAGACTGATGCTTGTTAGTACCAAGATGATTTTTTTCACTTTTCCAAAGAGGCTTCTTCCATTCAACAGGGAAGGTCCTCCAAGAATTAATTCCTCTTAGGATTAGTTGATATCTCTTTATTTTGTGATTTCATTAGCTGGAGGTAAACTTGCCGCTACAGACATGTAGGATTACTACATATCTCTACGTATCCCCACTTTCAGAATAATTTGTTATGCTGCCATTGGTACCAATGGTTCATGACCCTCTTACTTTTTGTCCATAGCATCCTGTGATTGCACTGATGTCAGGGCTTTGGCTACCTAAATCTAGACAAATTCCTGCACAGCCTGGAAAAGGCAATGAGCTGGATGGGAAGAGCACATGCTGTTTGGGTAGGAAATTGTAGTTTCCATTGAAAACAGCATGAGCGATTCTTCCCGTCTTCCATTCCACTCCCTCAGCTCCAGTTTAAAGAAATACTTGAAATTTTCCAAAGTGCTCCCCTACAAAATCTGAAAGAGGCTTTTAGTAAGCAGCTTGTTGCGGAGGGCTAATGTGAAGAGTCAGAGCTTGAACCCAACAGTACCAACAACACATGAGAGTAGACTCTGGATATATGACAATATTGTTTCACGTAGCACTTTAAAGAGGTGAGAGGCCGTTTTCTCTCCAGTGATTATAATTAGCTCATAAAACTTCAGTGTTCACAAAATCTTTTAAAATCAGTGAAATTGCCCACTTCTCTCTCACTCCGCAGCACTGCATCACAGCCGTGCTGCTACGGTTTCATGTGATTGCTGTCAGGGAATTGAGCTTCGGATGTTTTGCTTGGGAAGACTGCCCTGGTAGCTAGGACACCTGGGAAAATCAGATCTTGAGAAAATTTGTTGCTAGATAATCCCTGTAATTCACTGAGGTCAAAGTTAGCAGGCCTTTAATTTGTCTGAGATTGAACCTCAAGCCCCTGGGGGCAAATGCCTTTAGCGGCTATACTTCCTGATTGTGGAACTCATTTCCTATTTCTGTCTGAAACCTAAACAGATTGAAAAGGTCAGAGTTGAACCAAAGACAAATATTTCCTGCTACTTTTGACTGCAAATTGCTCTGACTCTTGAGTGAGGACAAAGATGGTAATACACAGGGTAAGGGTTAGTGCTTTGGCTGCTTTGTACCACTCTAGTGACACAAACCCACCATAGCTTGAGTTGAACTGGTCAGTTGTGAGGGTTTCAGTTGGTGTATGTTGTTGGCATCACAAGTCAGACCCTGGTGACAAATCTGGTCCTATGTTTCTTTTGCAAAGATTTTATGGTATTTCACAGAAACAATGGTGAATTGTTACTCTGAGAAGCTTTTTGGAGTTCTCAAGCCCATGAATTGATGGGAGCCTTTAGGAGGGCAATGTCCACATTCACAAAAATTTTGGCTAACAGGTGTATTTTTATCACTAAATTCCTGTTCAACAAGAGATACTGAGGTAGTCTGTGAGAAAGGGGGAACAGAGTCCAATTGTCAAAAAGCTTTGCATAAGGATTGTAATTAGCAAGATTACTTGTAATCCGTTGGGGTGTTTTTTGGGTTTTTCCTTTTGAAACACAGAAACCAAACTTGAAGGAGTACAAATAGGCTTGATCAGAAGGAGAGAAGGAAGGGGCGGGAGGAAGAAAGGGCGAGAAAGTAGAAGGAAGTCCAGGAGAAGAGTGAAGATGTGTAGTGCAAGCAGCTGTCAGAGATCAGCACAGGAAAAGGAAGCCTCTCCCACATGCTGTGCTGAGCCACTGGGGTGACGAGTGATGTTTCAAGGAGTAGCTGCCTGTGCAGCTACGTAGTTAGTTACACGCTCTTGGAATACCTTTGCTGCTGGGGAAACATAGCACTACAGTTCCCAGGGAGAGGACATGAGCCTCTTAAAGGTCATTGGCACCCTGCATCCTTTCAGAGAGGTATAGCAGAGCGTTCTCTTTGTCTTCAGCTAAAACAACACTACTTATGAAAGGCTTCATGGGAGCTCTTCATGAATTGCAACCTGGTAAGGCCTCGCTTTGGCTTCTGGTAGTACAGTGTCTTTCAGGTGTTCATGCTGAGGTATTAATTCCTGACTCTCTAGAAATGTCCGCAAAATAAACACCGCCTAAGACAAAGAAGCCTTCTCTTTCTAGTCCTTTCCCTGATGATCTTCAAGAAAAAACAGATTTAATTAAAATAATCCTTTATTTTAAACTTTTGACTTTTTAACGAGATCTAATACAGTGCAGGTTTTCAGTGATGTTGGCTTTTAATTCTGAAGTCTACCACTTCCTGTCACAGACTCAATATGTGAAAGAAGCTTGCTGTCTTGCTTTCCCCCTGCCACACACCAAAATGAATGAGGTGGCCTGAATGAGGTTTTGCAGTGGTGGTGCTGTTGCAGTTGCATGAATTGGTCACCAGATGATACCCTTACGCTATAGTCTTGATATTTCTCCGATTGCGTATTGGTAACTTTTAGGCAACATACTGCAGTAGGAGGTTGTAGATCTATGTTAATTAGCTCCAGCAGGGTGAACATATGGTGCCATATGCACTCCTAGTTTCCAGCTGCTAAGTATAACCAACATGAAGCAAAAAGGAGATTTATTCTCTGCTGCAGCTGCAACAATAAAGTGGCAGTCAGCACTGGCAGCAAGAGGGAAATGGCTGGCAGGATTGAGTCTCTGCAATTTATTTTCCTTGGCAAATTGTAGCTTATAGTAGGAGGTGGTTTTAAAGGCTACTTATGTTTTTCTTCTAAAGTTATTGCCATTGTAGAAAAGTAGGGGAGGGAGAGCAAAATCCAACATGTTCATGCAAGACGCAGGAATACTGTGAACTCAAACTTCCCTTCCTTCAAATGTCACTACTGTAGTGTCTGTATGGGAAGATAAATGTATATAAAGGAGGGCAAGAACAGCTAGTACCATCTCTTGTTTTTTAAAACTGCCAAAAAGAATTGCCTTAATCTCATCTCTTCCTCAGCAATGATCACATCACTCTCCCTTTATAAACAGTGGCTTCAAATCTTTATATCCAGTCCAAGAACTAGCTCCGGAAGCCAGTGTGTGTTTGTTTGGGTTTTTCCTCTTGTCTGTCAAAGATGAGTTTAAATTAATTTCAGCATTAGAGGCAAAGGCTTTATAATGGCTGTGGAAATGTTTGGATTTTGTTTCTTTTCTGGGATGAGCATTGTTGCTTGAGATTGGCAAATGGATGTTTGCAATGAAAGTATTAATGCAGCTTGAAAATAGTGGCAGCCTGCAGCTGCTGGGGTCATGATGGTTTTCATCTTTTTGGAACTACTAGAAACCCAGAACGGGATTTATTAGACCAAATGTAAACATTTACGTGTAAGTCAGTTGCCCAAGGCTCCTTTTACAGTCAGCGGAAGTCTAGACAATATGGCTAGTGTAGTCTGTGGTGCAGTTATTCCCATCCCAAACATACAATCATAGAATAGTTTGCGTTGGAAGGGACC